GGTCCGGATGAAGGGTGTCCGGATGAAGTAGATCTTCGGACATATGGGGGTTGTCCAACAAAGCTCTTCTTTTTGAGCTTGTATCGCCGGCCTTTCGCGGTCCTTTCGCGTTTGCAGAAAAACCACAGGTGTTCCTTTCGCGCATTGTGATAAGCTTGTTCCATTGCACTGAGTTCACAGTGTTTGGGATATCCAAACAAAGGTTTCAAGGCCATGGATGAGCACTTGCCCTTCCAGGCAATGCGCCCTTTCGCGGGCCTACCGCCGGCCTTTCGCGGCCCTTTCGCGAAAATCCGTGTTTCTGTTCGGGAAAAAGGATGTGTCATGTATTGTCATGTATTGTAATGTTATGCACATTGTATGTTATGAGTCTAGGTTGGCACATGTCTTTCGCCGTCCTATCGCCGGCCTTTCGCGGACTGCAGTTTCCCTTTCGCGACATGTATGTTTTAACATTTCATCTAAATTCCTTCACTGGCAATAACGGACGGCCCTCATATGGATGATTTGGAGACGTGATGGGTCTGAAGGATTTGAATCAAAGTACTCAAAGTCACATGTAGTAATGTAGTAGATACGATACAGAAGCATATCAACTTTGTCTGTTTGTCAATATCCTCCCCAAGCCATTCCATCATCCGAAGTACCATAAAACTTTTGGAGCGCACTTAAATCAACCCACGTCGCGTGAAGTCAACTCACTGCATGGGCACAAGGTTTCAGCGAGAAGCCAACCCACTCGCGTGAAGCCGGCTCATTTTGGTCAAGCCACAATGGGCGCACTTGAAAAATGAGCAAGGCATGAAAGTGATATGTTAAAGGAAAACTGTGTGCACACTGTGCTATGGCTGTCACTTTTGCCTTGCTTTCTAAGATGTTTCAGCCCAAATCTCAATGGCACAGCACCATTCACACCAATGCAAAACTTGGAGAACAGCTAGGTTGCATGCGCACACACAAGTGACGCCTCTGCGCGAGCCCTGTGCGACCCCGCGCGAGGTTCGACTGCAGAAAGCCAGCAGCCGCCAACCAGCACAGCAACAACAACAGCATCAGCAAACCAGCAGCATCGGCAGAAGACCAGTTGGGCCCAAAGATCCTTGCAATTGTGGCATGGGCCCAAGGAGCTCTGCATCAAAACTGTCACAAATCCGTGACCCTTCACCCCTTTGGAAGCTGCCCTCCCCCAATCATAAATATAGACGAGTGACAATCAGGCACACCATGGGCACAACACAAAACATATTATATATGAATACAATCTATGCTCAGGCATCCCTGTGGAGTGCAGTTCTGCAAGGGCACACTGTTCCGAGTCGACTTTACACAAGCTGAGTCGACTTAACGCTAGTACCTAGTAGGTGGTACGAGTACTGCGATAGCTTGAACAATCCAGTTGAATTCATGGTGTCCCTTTCAGAATTGTTTACGAATTTCCTGCAGTGCACACTGCAAAACACACCAGCTGCTCGCTTTAGAATTCTACCTGACCCTTGACATCGGTCTGTCTTTTCGACAGGGAATTGAAAGGGAAGGCATTCCAATTGTAAGCTGAAGGTCCTCTACTCACCATTTGGTCACCACCGGTCAGCACGGATCCTCACATGGCCTGCGTTGCTTCCCAGAAGATCTGCCTCCTGGCAGGAATCAAAGGAGAGAACCCGTTGGCCCTGTCGACTTGTAACAGCGCAGAAAGGGTGGAAGTCCAGTCAAACCTTGGTTTGGGGTGTTCAATATTGTGAGCCCTCAACCACTGTCAACATACAGCCCTGTGCTGTCTGCAAGGTGCTCCCTGTAAAGGAACCAAACCCTACAGGGAATGCCCTCAAGCCACAGGATCATGTCATACGAGACGCAATCACAACCTGCAGAATGACGGACCAAAAATATGAGTTGTACTGCAGTCGAACCAACCATCCTCACGACTTATATATATATACTGTAATGTAGCAGGACTTTTAAGATCTTTCACGATGACGGCACTGGTGCAGCCGAACTGATGATGTCCTGCCGCTTCTCAGGTGCTTTGGAGCCCTCGAAGTTAAGCAGGTCGGCCTGGCGAAGGGCACTCGTGATCAAGGAATGGTTGGCCTTCTCCCGACTAAAATGGTCAACAGCGGATCACTTTCACAGTCACTGGATGAAGAACAACAAAATTCAGCCACAGCATTCTATACAGCAAGTAGTATGTGGCTCCATGTCCAATGAAGTTGCTACTAGTAGGGGACTGTAATGCTTCCATAGACCGACACCAAGCATTAACATGGATGCTAGAACAACAATATTGAACACTCCAGCCTGTTCAGCCGGCTTTGCCGGCGTGGGCTTAGAATCGCCCATATCCAGCAGATCCACTGGCGGAGCAGCGGCTTTCGCGTTGGCCTCAAAAGTCACTTGGACTCATCTGCATTTAGTAACAAGTGCATCGCTATTAGTAGCAAACAGCTACTAGGGTGGAGGCCATCACTACTAGTAGCAAGAAGCTACTAGCAACAACGGCGGTAGAAAGGCAACAATCAAGGGAACCCATTTGATGCTAAAAAGGATTGGATCCCTCAACTATCCTTAGATGTGTTCTTGTTTTACAAACCTCCGGTTCAAAGGATCTATTTCAGCTGAAACGTGCAGGTCCAACTCCAAGAAATCCACCAGCTGCAGCGATTGCAAAGAAAAGGTTGCTATACACCGCCTGCCTGCGGCTTGGACTCATCTATGCATGGTCCGACCTTGGGCTTGGAAAGAAATCCTCACATCGGATCCGTTTTTACACTCAGGAGGCCGTCGCTAGTAGGATGGAGGCCATCGCTATTAGAAACAAAGAAAAAAGAACATGAAGGGGTGGTCAACGGACATTGCGGATGGATGATATAGTGAAGTATAGCTAGTAGTAGATATGGCATATTAGTACAGTATAGTCTCGAAGGGACAAACAATTGGCAGAATCTGATTCGTATGCATGTCATGAATCTAATATGATCTTGGTCCTCCAAGCAGTCGCTTCTTGACTTCGTAACCGGTTCGTTGGACTGACTTCGCATCAGAGAACACATCTCAGTTGTTGAACAACCAACCTGCTCATCTGATCCTGGATTTCCACCTGATCAATCTGATCACTGATTACCGTATATGCCCAACACGTAACACCACATCCAGTGCCTATATCCGAAACGTCTCGAATCCTTCTCAAATCCGTCAACGGAGGGCACGTGTGCAGGATTGTGCAGGCAGGTGCAACCCTGAACAACGTCCGACCTGGAGGCCCTGGCCACCACTCCCTGCACTGGAGCTGGCACTGGACGACCTGAGTTGAGTCTTGGCCAATCAGTCAGATGCAACCCAATGGGATGGGCTGATTCGGTGTTGATTTACTGAAAGCGACAAACGCTCGCAAAAGTGGCTCATTCTTCTTAGAGGTGCCTTGTTCCTGTCCATGGTCCATGCTGGTGTGCCTGATGTTGCCAAATCGAAAACTGCTTGAAACACATTGGATTTGTGCATGCAACCATGAATTTCAAGAGCGGAAACCTCCCAACAGTGGAACAAGAAGCGCACAACGGGCAGCTGGGTCAATTAGAATGCATCCCGAAGGCTGCCTGTTACGCAACAGAAGCTGATGCCTTCCACCAAGTTTGCTACAGGTAGTCTCAGTCCACTGAAATGTTGGACGCCAACATGGTGAGTCCAGTGAGGGGGTCGGACGCCACTCGTGACAGGACCTCCGCCATCAGGAAGCACTCTGAATGACGATGCTGACTGCGCAACGGTCAGGACCCAAGGCCGGTTGCCAAACCAAACCCCAACGGGTCAAGGGTTCTGGATGTTGATGTTCGATGGCGCACGGGATGATGATTCCAGCTGGGGGCACAACCAAGGGTTCGGTTCTTGATCCAAGCTTCTCTGTACCTGATGCAAAGCGTGGAGATGTGAACAAAGGTCGTTCACATGGGGGTGTGCAAGCCAGCGTGGAGTTGTTGTACCATGGAGGGTTCCCCTGAAAAACTGGGTATGACTTAGAATCTCAAGACGTTCGCCCCTTTTTGGCCGAGCGAGTCCTGCGCTGCAACTAGGCAATCCTGCAGCAAGCTCTTGAAGAGAGCAATCAGCTCGTCAGGCAGTTATCGACAACCAGCACTGGATTGACAAATCAATAGCTTCAAACTACATTCACCGGATGCACCCCTGAATGTAGACAACACTGACCTGGCAAGCCGAAAGCAACTGCTCTCTCCATGGCTTCCCGTCTTAGCATTTCACGCCCAGCTGGCTCTCAGCAAACGCCCCAGAGATATTCGAACCTTGGCCATTCCCCAAAGCAAAGCTCGGGGATCAGAGTCTCACAGGCCTCGTGACGATCTATCACGGAGTCCATTGGGGTCCAATTGCTGCACGTCTGAGACTCAAACCTTGAAACTGATCATGAGTGGTTAGTAGTTAAATTACATTAACTATATATACTAGATATATATATATATATGTGTGTGTGTGTGTTACAATCTATTTGAATATATACAGGTTCCACCGACTCCCTCTGACTAGCAACTAGTAAAGGGTCTTCAACCTTAAACATCTTGGGAATGATAGAGAAGGTGATCATAAACACATAGATAGAAAACCCAAGCAATCGAAACCTTTCAAATCCTTCAACCCTGTGTCCAAGCCTCTTCGACTCACTACCAGCTCTACCGCCAGTACCCTGCAGTTTCGAGCTTCCCACTCATTGCAAATCCTCAGCAAACAGGGGGTCACTCAGTCATCGAGAGAAGTGCACAGAGAAAAACATGACCTTCTGGCATGTAAACAGAAAGTCCAGATCAAGGAAGGTCATGTTTTGTTCACCCTCAGATGTTCCAGATTGGTTTACTCTCAGGGGCTTGTTTGGGAAGAGTGGAGAGGTCTCATTTCGAGGCATCCCCACGACAAGTACAACAAGGATCTCGGCTCGTGTGATCTCCTTGTTGCACGAGGATAGTAAGGGCCCAAGTGCATATATGCATGCATATATATATATACTGTATTTATCATTTTATCTCATCCACACACGTGCTGAATTCAAAGATCTTGAATGATGTGTGATGTTGCTCTGTGATGCTCTGTGGACTTTGCAGCCCATCTACATTTGCAGAAACATCTCACTTAGTCTGAGTGTCGGGCTTCGAACAAACGCAAGCGGCTGACAGGCCGTAAGGTGCAATGGAGATATTCTCCTGCAATGCGAAAGAACGCAATGGCAGAATCATCATCTACTAAAGTGGGCAACCTATCCAGATCCAGAGCTTGACCATATATGCCCAAATTACCCCACTGCCGTGCAATTTGCACCCACAAAGGTTCTTGATACTCCCTTCCAGCCGACGCCAAGTCCTCCACATAGTTTCCACCAAAGTTCGCTTCAGTCACCGGGTCCCCATGAGCTACTCCGCCTGAGGGAAGGGCGGTGCTGCTACCAGTACCACGACCAATCGCTCCATATCACCACCCAAAAAAAAGTTCCTACAAGCTGCTTCCGTTCTTCAGCAAACTCTTTACAGACTCTGCAAACAATCTACATATATAATTACTCTTACAGGTCTTGCTGCTGTCCTCAAATGCTCCTAGCCCTAGTCCTCCTCCTAGTCCACATCTTCCTACTCCTATTCCTCCCAATCCTCCTGCTCCTATTAAACATTGCTACTCCAGAGCCAGAAGAACAGGAGTCTCGGTGGCCCCTATCCACAAAAGCAACTCATCCACAGCTGTAGTTCTTCCTCTCCAAGTGCTTTCGACGTCCTCTTCTTTGCGTGCGAAGGTTCAACTGCAACAAATTGAGGTTACCCAGTTGGTTGAAGGGCCGGGAGTTTGACAGGATCTCCTGATTCGATTAGCTGCGTTGTGTCACTGTTTTTGAGGTTTAGCTAAAACACACCAAAACGCACATGCAACATTGAGGGACTTGGCAGAGTACTTTCAACACTCTTGCCCACTTGTGTTGATATCAGGAATTCTTGCATATGCCATGCTTAACACGTCTTAAGACGCATGTGTGTTTCCGCTACCCCGATCAATCCAACCAGGAAGTGTACCTCATATGATGTATGTGTGCAATACCTCGAAGGTCGACATCACGTCCTCATCAACCTATCTCCAACCTGAAGCATGTTCTCGGACATAAAACAAAGACTCGCTTCTCCTTTTCCGGACAATCCCTGCTGTTCGCTTCTGCTCGGGCACAGGTTGAAGCAAGCACCATTTTAGACCACACAAGTTGGTCTGTTGGTTCGTCCATGTGGGGGGGGGGCGATCCTCTGCGAGAATCACGGCTTCCTGTATTACTAGAAACGAACGTAGTCAACAGAGCAGGGGAGGCCGCCCACGACCCATGTGCCAAACGAGAAAACATTATAAAGCAGCAACCTCGTCGTACTCCTTAGAAGCCCAGACTGTTTCCCAGAATTGGACCCCTCATGCTTCAGGACACCGACTCAATCTAATGATTTCCTCTGGGCCCCAAGGCCAATGGCAAAGACCAGTGGCACCGCACTGCCGCTGGACTGCCTCATTTCAATCAAGGTGCGCTGGGGATTGCAACCTCTGTGTGTGTGTGTGTCAAACCCTGTCCCTAAGGGTCTACTCCACAATCCCATGTTTCCATGCAGGGGGCTCGTGGACGCATGGATGGCACGAGCCAACGAAGACTCATCCATGTCGTCGTGATACCAGACCTATCAGTCTGGCGTACCTGCGACTTTTTTGAACTGTTGCCCACGCTGTTCCAATCTCTTTTGTTTGTTTCCATGGTGGTTCCACGATACCTCCCCCTAAACCTTTTTCCTTCAGCCGCTTGCAGCCGCAGCGCGTTTTGCAGCATATCACCGCAGTCAAGTGAGAAACTCTCTTGTTCAAACACCTACAAATTTGCGGACTCTCCACCTTGCCGTTCTCTCACCTTCTTTCCACCTGGGAATTGAGCTATATAACTGAAAACCAATGTCAGAGTGTGAACCCCTCAGCCGTCCCACTTGGGTGCTGGGTGTGATCCCCGTCACTGGGGCGCTGAAGCCATGCTGGAAATCATGTAACAGATTTTTCGGATCCTTCATTCCTTGGATTTTCTTAACTGACTCATTTTCACCACTGGATCAACTGCCTTTCGAGCCGCCGGGCTTATACGGTTTCAACTCACTGAATAACTCACTGACTATCCTGTTTTGCAGCTTGCCTTTGATTTTCAAGCGTGTACAGTTGACCTGCGATCACATTTTCACCAACCACTTTTCATGACGTAGATTCACTGCATGCAGAATTGCGCCATTTTGCAGCTGACCATACCCTTAAACAACACATCAGCTACCTCCTACAACAGCACCAACCTATCCACTTCCACAGCCACCACCACATATGCCTTCCGTGATTCCACACGTGCCTGCCACTATGCCGCATTTTCCTCAACCAACATGGCCACCTACAGCCCATTTTCAAGCACAACCGCCACCACTACCACATGTACCACATCCTCCTCTCACTTTTCCTTTTCCATACACATTACCTTCACCCGAGCCCATGCCACCTTCTTCTCCATCAACAGCAACGCCACAACCTACACCTACTCCTGCTACCCAACCATCCCATCAGCCAGTACCACAACAAACGGCAGCACAATGGGACCCCCACAAGGGGTTTGGCAACCGTTTTCTGGTTGTAGAACCCTCTCACTCTACGGCATCACCTTCGCCTCTCACTGCTGCGCACACAGTTCCACAATCACCTGTCTCTACAGCGCCCTCTGCACCCGACGCAAGCCACACAGCAGCTACAACCGAGCAAATTTCCTCAGCCGCACTCCATCCGCCTAACACTCCTCCACCTTCCACTCCAGCGGGATCAGTTCACTCTGACACAGTCAACAACACACAACCTACTCATCCACACACAGGCTCCACCACCAACACAACCCGCCTTCACAGCAGCCAATCCTGCCGTTCGGCTCCTGCCTGCAAGCAGCTTGTATGATGACAGCGGACGACTGCTTCCAATGGGGCAACAACCATATTTCCCAGAACATGATCCATGGCACGCGGACAACTACCAGCGCTGACGCGATCGACATGGCCAATACGGCCATTTAGCCACAGTCGTTTTCATTAGCTTGATGTTTTTCCACTCGGTCTCCCTACCTTTTCATTCAACTTCCACCTTTCTACTGTTATACTTTTGGTGTTCCCACTCATTTTCAAATATACCTGCTACCCAGCCATTTTGCGGACATATTTCACTAACTGCGACCTCAGGCTGTTTCACCCTGCACCACGAAAAATCATCAGCGTCGGCTCAGTGACATGCATTCGGTGGTTCAGTATTCACCGTGGAGCTTTCACCACTTTCCAGGGAACCACATTAGACTTGGTTTTCATGTCTCTTCAATTTCTTTTCCATCGCATGATGTCATGATTCTCAGGTCTCCCTCGCTTGCATAGCTTTCTTGCTCGAACAACCAGCTTTCCGCGCACCCATCTTTGATCCGCTGCCCCGACATCATGGACGCTCAATGGCAGCAGTTCTATTGGCAACACTACCTGTTGCAGCAACAACAACAACAACAACACCAGCAGCAGCAGCAGCACGCTGCACATCAGAGCTCAGCCGGCCACCCATACACCCCCACGGGTACGTATGGCCCCATGACCCACGCGGTCCGCACGCAGCAAGCCCGTCACACACATCCTTACACTCCCTCTCCTTCTCCTTCACAACCGCCACACACTCACTCACCTTCCACGCAGCATGAGTTCCCACCACCACCTCCGCCACCCCTACCAACCGCAGCTCCGGTCACTCCTACCGCGTACTCACTCAGCTCCGACAGCACCACCGGCCACTGTCCCGTTCCCCAAGCCACCTATTCACGACTCCTGGCATCCCACCGACACCCATTGGGATTGAAATTCCCTGCACGGGCACCAACTTTATCGCACCATTCAACCCACCCAATGGTCCAACAACGGCGCAAACACTTCCGCCAGCTCCACATCCTACCTCACACTTACCATTACCACAACTTCCTCTCCTCCAATTCAGTTTACATCAAACTCCATTTCAACACCATTGAGCCTCAACGATGCTACCACCAACATGGCCACTTCTATGTGGGCTCCACAGCTATTGGTATCCCCCACCGAGAGCACAATCGGCAAGCCAAGCTCAAGCAACTCCAAAACAACATCCCGGTTTCCGCTGAACTCTCCCTACGCTATTGGCACTCACATGACAACATCCACCACTTCACCACCATCCGACTATCCTCTCATGAGAACTACGATCAAGCCTGGATTCACGAACACCACTACTTCTCCAACTGGATGCCTCCCCTCAACTGGCCTTTCATCTCCCAGCACCTCAAACTCAAAGCCCAAGGATGGCAATTCACCAAACACCGAGCTCACTTCTACTCTCGCCTCGCCACCCATAAGCGGTTCTTTCGCCGCTTGCGCCGAAGACAACAAACAATCAGAGAAGCACACCTTTTCACCTCCACAAAACATACCTCGGCCTCCTTTGAAGCTGCCAAACAACTGCGTAGCGGCCGTCACACTGATCTTGAAGTTTATGCCATCCGACGTATGGCTTCCAATCTTGAAGAGCCAGGCCGCAGTCGAGCTTTACACATCATTAACAAAGCACTCCAGTACCGCAACCTGACTCCACCCAAACCCAATATCCCACTTACTGTGCCATTCCTCGCGCATGATGACTTCACCTAGCACTGTCAGCAGTGGCTGCGGGCCACCATCCAACAACACAAGCATCTAGCCATCCCACTGCACCTTCCCACCCACCGCCTGCGCGAAGCTGCTCACGAGACACTTCGGGCGCAGCTCCACAACCACCGCGCTTGGGAAGACACCTTGCACACACCTCCAGACCCCTCAGACCTTCCGTGTGCTTGCTCTCATCTCCGAACCCTTCTTCTCGAGCCAACCACACCTACCACCAACAACCACTACATTCTTACGTTGGATCAGCTGACGCTGCCGTCACATCTCCGCATTTTCCTCGATGCCAATATGAACAGCACATTCTACCCCAGCAAAGCTCGCTACTTCATTACTTTCCAAACAGCCTTCACCAAATGGCTCAGACTTCAAGGACTCCCCACATCGCTCAGCCAACACCTGGAACGTTTTCTTCAACACCAATGGCGACTTCACACCACACACCTCAAGCAACATCCACGCTTCACAGCTCGCCTTCTCAGACAGCTCCAAGAATACCCAGGTGACAAGGTCGTGCTCCACCATGCCGATCACGAACTCCAGCAGCTTCGAGTGTTCTGCCCTCGCCAATACTTCACAGGAGAACTCAACACATGGCAGGCCCCAGAACTTTTCGAACCACTACGTCACACCTTACCTCAGCCAACATCCACGACCACCTCTCAGCCACCATTCCGGCCGGTCTCCGATCTCGATACAAATGGGGCTTTCGCAATGAATTTATCACCCCATACGGCATAGTCCACCTCAAAGCCAAAAAGCAATGGCAAAAAGGACACACCATCATCTCTTACTTTCATTCCCTGAGCGGCAACCTCCTACGTATTACCAGCAGGGCACTTGACATCATTTTACAACACCTTTTCCCACAACATCCAGGGCAACTGTCCATCCCACAACTTTGGCGCCACTTCCACTGCTACCTCACTCAAACACCCACCGACATCAACCTCCACGCGACCAACGATGACCTCGTCGGCTTCTTCAGCTCGGTGCCCCAACACCGCCTCATCGATGCGGTCCACTCCATGATCCAGCAATGGCAATCTCAGCATTCCACACACACACACACCTTGACCGTGGACGCCAAAGCCACCGGCAATCCTTTCCATCATTCCCATGTTGGCAGGCACTACACAAAACATCCCACACAACGTACCCTTCACACGTCCGACATCACTACCATTGTCGCCTTTGCGCCTGAACACTTGTATTTTCCGGGCATGCAACAACACATACAAGCAAATTCGAGGGGCTGGGATTGGCTCCCAACTCTCTCCTGCCCTTTGCAACGTTGCCATCACCTTGATCGAGCACTCTTGGCACCAGCTCCACAACAACCTTCTTCAGCACACAGCCCTCCATTTCTCTTACTACAGGTGTGTCGACAACCGTTTCATCGTGCACAACGAACACTTCCTCTCCCATCCAGCCATTCAGACTCTCATCCACCACAACTTCTTTGGCGATCCCGTCGGACGACTTTCACCTCCTGGGCTTCAACATCGACCTTCCGCAACGCACAATCACCTACATCCAACCCAACCAACCCTGGAAAATCAGGGATCCCACCAGCGCCAGCGCTTGGCTCTCTCCGGCTTAGCTTCACGTCTACATGCAATATACACATACAGCTTTCCACCAACCACAGCAACGGCAGCAGCTGAGGAACTAGTCCGGCTATACGTCCAAAAAGGACACGACTCCACTGAATGCCGGCGCTTTTTACGGAAAAACTGGTGCCACCGACTTTTTCCACGCACGTGCGCCGAAACCGGCCACGTGTGTGCGTCAAACCCTGTCCCTAAGGGTCTACTCCACAATCCCATGTTTCCATGCAGGGGGCTCGTGGACGATGGATGGCACGAGCCAACGAAGACTCATCCATGTCGTCGTGATACCAGACCTGATCAGTCTGGCGTACCTGCGACTTTTTTGAACTGTTGCCCACGCTGTTCCAACCTCTTTTGTTTGTTTCCATGGTGGTTCCACGACACCTCCCCCTAAACCTTTTTCCTTCAGCCGCTTGCAGCCGCCGCGCGTTTTGCAGCATATCACCGCAGTCAAGTGAGAAACTCTCTTGTTCAAACACCTACAAATTTGCGGACTCTCCACCTTGCCGTTCTCTCACCTTCTTTCCACCTGGGAATTGAGCTATATAACTGAAAACCAATGTCAGAGTGTGGGTGTCCCCAAACACTTCTGTAGGATTCTGCAAGACGAGCAAAAATGCTGTCGGAAAACCACCTAGCACTCCACCACGCAGAAAATGAAAACAAAAACCTTGGTTGTGCAATTGGGAAGAACAAGTTGCACAGCGCAAGGAAGCCCATACTGCCCCTTCGTTGTCGACCACCTGCTGGGTGTTCTTTTCCGAAAGCACCCATGAATCTAAACATCTTTTGGCCTCAACCTGACAGGAAGAAACCTGTGTATCCTGTATCTAGTGTGGTGGAACATCTCACCCAGCTTCCAACTTGGGGCTTCTAACCTCTTCAACAAGCTCGTCCAACTTTGCAAGGTTCCGGCTCTTCCAACTCGGCGGCGAAGTCCCTCATCTTCACCTGGACAGATCGATGGAGTCAATGGAGAAGGCGAACCGAGGTCTAACATGTTGGGGGCCATCGCTATTGGGGCGGAGGCCATCGCTATTGGGGCGGAGGCCA